AAGGGATCTTAATCGGATTCAGAGATATGCATTTCAAATCGTTCGAGTCGACCGAAAGATGCCCGAATCCGAGATTTCGGTAAATCCAATTCCGAGAATCTTTTTACAATCGTAGGGCAGCCTAAGAGAGTTCAATTCATCTCTCAGGAACCCCGACGTTTTAAACGTCGAACGTTTTATGGATCTTGCTCGTTTTTCAGAGGCCAACATCAACTTTCCACTCTCTTCTCGAAAGATCTCGGTGACCCGGAAATCGGAACGAATTTCCAAAATAAAAGAAATATCCAGAATAAGCGTACACCCTCTTCATCTTCGATTCACCTCTCTTTCTCTCTTCGAAACTCCGAGTTTCGAAAGTTTCGCTCGAACAATCTTTTATTTCGTTTTCCGTATCTTCACTTTCAAATATAATAACTTTCGAGTATACTGTATATAACGAAAAGAGAGATAAACACACGGGTTATGTTTATATCTGTCGAAATAATTACAAGGTAATATTGTTATTCCTTGGAATATTTATCATGTCCCGAAACGAGTGTCCGCGATGGATAAATAGAACTCTAGTGTTTTGCCACAGTTCTTAAGGAGCCGCTTTCGAGAGCGTGTCGAACAACACCGCGGTTATATTTCGTTCCTAAAATATTTCTATCGTTGGCGAAAAAATAACGACACGGCAGATCGATGGACGGACTTCTCGAATTTATTAGGAATCGAACGCTGACTTATTGGGAATTTTATTGGTTCAATAAGTTGGTTTGCGAGAAGGATGAGGTTAGTAAATAATTTTATTTTGCGAATTGGTTTTGGTTTTCGATGATGCATTATAAGATATGCATGAATGCACGAGATCGGTAATTTTTTTATACGTTTTTGTATATTATTACGTTATTCGTGCAGATTTTTGTAAATTTAAATTTTTCATAAATGAAATGAAATGAAAATCCGTAATCTAGCGATGAAATATGTCTGCTAACATCATTAATCATAATTCATTTAATTGAAAGGTAAAGCATGAATTTTTCAATAAATAAAACTCTAATGTATAATATTATAATAGTTGGTATGATGTATAATATTAGTACTACAGAAATTAACTGGTGTGTAAAACATTCGAATTTTGGTATAAAGATAATACTCGTGTTACAAATTAAAACGTTTGAAAAAAATCCTTGATGATTACGCGATCGTTAGAATTTACTGAAATTGAAAATAATTATTTATAAATAAAATTTGTTCGTGTTTAATAATTTTCGTGTTTTGTGAAATTTTTTTCTGTCAATTTAATCACAATCTGTGATTAAAAATTTTTGTGTACGAGATTTTGACTTGCATTTTGAGAAATTCGGATATAATTAAATTTACGCGACAAAAGAGAGCTACCTTTTTTAATTAATTTCGATATGAACTTACTGAGAATAAATGGAACGTTATTCTTGTACTTGTTAAATAGTAGCTTTTTTAATACGATTATGTTACGATTATGTTAAAATTGCATTGACATAATAAAATATAATCGAAGACGAATTTATATCAGAATTTAGCATTGTTGTTCTGAACTATCGTTCAAGAATTAAGTCAAAAAGAATAAATTAAAATTATAAAATAGAATAAGAAATATTCTTAATTTTTATTTATTTAATTTTTATATATCAGTTCCAACCAAATACTGATTATTACAATTATTCGCATTAAAATATCTAAAACAATCGCAATGCGTTAATAATGGAATCATACGCATTTATTTCCAGCGAGGAATTGACCTCGGTATATATCCATTTATTATATTTCTCATCGATCGCAATATGCGCGATTTCCGATTACGTTTATTCGTTAAATCGTTAAATCAGAATTTTTATTCGGATTTCCCCGATGTATCATTATATCTCCAGTGTACCGTATTTATCATATTCATTAACGAGAAACCAGATGAATTTCGAAATTTCAACGAAAATTCAATCCGATGGAGGTTAATTTTTATATTACAGACAAATCTCTCTCAATATTATATTCATTGCACGTGGAACATATTTAAACGAAATATTATTTTCTCTCTTCGGAAACTATGCAATAGCATCGATTGCACGTATTTCTATAGAAATTTTCCTGAAACTTCGATCTCTATTGATTTGATTTTTAAGGAAGAATATCAGAGATATTCATCTTCTTCTTATGAATAGCTATTACATTTTTATTTTCTCTTAAAACATGTATAATTTTCGATAAGTCAAAATACTTGACGATCGATCGAGGATTTTTAAATTTATACTTTTCAAAGAATAATACTAGAGATATTCATTTTCTTTCTATGCATAGATTTTACAAATGGATATCGTATTATTTTTTTCGAAATAAATTCTACGATCATTAAAATCGATTTGATCAATGCAGATATTATATATCCATTTTTATTCATGCGAGTAACAATCAATTAATAACGAAACGATGTTTTTCATATTGTTTCCCTTATGAGACGCTCGTGTAATCAATCTTGAAAACGAGAAACAATCACGAAGGATGGATAAATGTTCAAACATACATATATAGGAAGTAATAGAAAGGATTTATGCCATACATATATGTATGTCGAAATGAGATTACACGGAAATATTCGACGAGATACAGATATTGAATTAAACATTTTTGTTATTGTCCGGAGATATGTTGGATCGAGGTCATCTTGAAAATGAAAAACTCATTGGCTGTTTTTGCTTTGTTATAAATATATAGTTAACGCTTTCACGGTAGTTGATTTAATATATCGTGCATCAGAATACGAATACGAAACTGTGGGAAAAGTTGTGTCATTAATATTTAATTGAACTCTTTGGTCCTTGAATTTTAAACGTTTCCTTCGAATTCGTTTCATTCGATTTTCTATTATATCTCTGATATTCTTGCATTCCTTTTTCCCTCCAGTATTATTATTAAACAGAAAATTTGTTCTGAATAAAATCAAATATTCCATTTCTTTTCTAACTTTTGAAATTTCTTATTAACACATTATCTTCTTTGTTATAATATTTTCAGATATATTATTTACTATTAATAAAGAAAATATTTTATATATGGAATAATTTTATGATATTGATGATGAAAACTTAAATTGAAACTCTTCAAACTTTGCTTATTCTAATTTTAATTGTTTAATTCTGTTTAAATTATCTATACCATCCGAATTACCTCTTCATTATTGATTTAATGAAGCATTTATTTAAATAGCCATTGTATGTATTTCGTCAGAATGCAAAGAAAATCTGAATTGATCCATTTGAATAGTTGCAATGCATTGTTGCGAAACGATTATGGAGGCAGTGTTCCATATTCATAAGATCTTATTGATACATGTGAATGAATGCAAAATCCTCCTCACTAAATTTATCATTCGTTATCATCATGGCACCGTTCTTTCTTTTTTTCGCTTCCAAATCTCTTTTTTCCTTCTCTTAATGGCAACTGATCCAACATCTTATTAATGCGATACAGAGCAAAATCGTAGAAAGCATTGTTTGTTACGACGAAACATTTTCTATTGTTGGTTGTTTGATAATCTAATTCTGTTGAATAGATAAGATTAATCTTGCTATAAAAAAAAGAATTAAAAAAAATAGAGCGAAAAGAAAACAATCTTTTTTGACTTATTAATAATCAGTAATTTAAGATCACTGAAATGATCTAAGATAATGAAATCAGCTTCAAGTGAAAGATATTCTAAATTAGATTAAATCTTTATTATATACTTCATAATTCTTAGAAAAAAAAATAACATGCTCTCTCTATATTCCAATAAAAAAATTAAATGAAAAAAAATAATCAATGATGAAGTTTTTATCAAAAGTAAGAAAAATACACTTCGTGAATATCCTTCCACGATCAATGACTCTTTTTTTCTGTCTCAAAGGAGAAACCTACGAGGAATTTACTTCTGTCAAACGCAGCCTTCGGAAGAAATTTCTTCCTTTTACAATCCTTTGTGAACAAGTTAAAATATCGTAAATCTTGTTTATACTCGAATAAATTACTTTTGTTAAAATAACATCAACAAAGATATGCATGAAAAACCATTTTAAGGCTGGACGTTTTGTCAGAAATCATGAATTTTCTAAAGAAAAGTTTTGTACACATGAAGTTATATCTATTTAAAAGTGCAATATATGATAAAATTGAAAGTTTTCAATTCCAGGACTTTCAAATGAAAGCATTGTCGTTTCAATTAAATTTAAAATGTTCCCTATGGTCTGGTCTTATCAGAAAATGCATTACTGCATGTAGGTGACCACGTATGAGATACATTTTCGAGAAGGAGGACAGATAAGCAAGAAAGACAGAAAAAGATGAAGCAAATCAAATTACCCTTGAGATATATACATTTTTGACGTTTTACTTCGCGCTTGCTTTGGAGGATGTACGCTTATTTTATCTTCATGAGTGTGGTTTATAAAAAATTCAACCTCGTATAGTGACGAATAAATATTTAGGATCTCGAGTTTCCTAATATTTCCCTATCTGAGTCATTGATTATTCGGACAACTTTTATTTAAAATTTAAAATTAATTTTAAAAAAAAATATTTTATATTTATTTTATAAATAATTTTCTTTACGATATTACGATATCTTTTATGACAGAATAAATTGTAATAGAATATGGAATCAAAATGAAAAAAATAAAACAGATGAAACTTAATGCATACATTGAATTCAATATCAAAGGAACTCATTATATCTACTTCTCACTTCAATACAAATTTAAACTGGTCCCTAATTTAAAAAATAAAAGTCGATTAATTTTTTTTTATTTAATGAATATATTAACATCCGTCTAACGATTTATCAATTATTTTAATTCGATTTATTTAATTCGATTATCCTCCAAATAATTAATCCAAATAAAAAGAAGAAAGAATCAAATTATTTATTTTTGGTATTATTCGAGCATAACATAAATAAATTGTTCGATACATCGCTTATTTCTTATTCAATGATCGAACTATACCTCGAATACTTGCTCAATATCTTCTCGTTCACCTTAATGTACACTTCATTTATGCCTCACCGACGATAATACTGTCGGATGTGATCCTTAATGAGGTCGAAGATCGGCTCGATCGCGACAAAGTGACAGTAGAAGGCCTACCATGGAAATTCACCTATTTCCTCCTCGAATTCTCGTCGATCGCTTGCTTCGATCGTGCTTCGATACGAAATTTTCACGAATGAATAGTCCTTTTCCATTCCATCGAGAATTCCCTTAGAATGCTTGTTGTTGTGCCAACTAACGTGATGATACGAGGAAATTCTATTTTAGAGAAGAGAGAAAAAATAGAATGAAAAATGCGAGGTAATAATAATAGAATTAATATTTATCATACTGACCTGTTGAATTCTGTGGATTTTTCTTTCTTTCCAGTAATCTATATCCAATAAATAAAATTAAATTAAAATTAAATATTATTATATTTTATATATTACTAAATTGAAAATGAAATTGTTATATAAAATAACTTACAAAAAACATATCAGATCACAGAACACAATAACTCTGTCCTTCTTCGACATTAATTATTCGAAATTTATTTCTGAATATCAACGACGAGGAATATGGAGTAATTAAATCTGTTGGAAAATATACATATCATTTATAGAATCGATATAATATCCCCCATAGATATCCCACGAATCGTTCTTTGATCTTTCGACGAAACTTGGAGATCTCGTCTTTTTATCGTCAAACAAGCGACTTTTTAAAGCGGATATCCCGAGTTTCACAATACCAGTTCCGCTGAAAATAATCAGAATTCGATCATTATAGCAATCAACATCCTTTTTTTCTCGAGATTATCGAGTTCTCGTTTCTTCTCGAGAAACGATTCGAAGTTCTAAAGATTGAGGTCTCTTCTTCATTTCTCTTTCCGTTCGCTTGCTGAGAAATTTCTATCCGAAAGTCTGCTTCGAATACAAGATAAAAGATACGAAAAGTTTAGATCGCTTCGTGAATTTCTCTAAAGTGTAAATGTTGAAAGTTTCGTCCATTTTCGTAGTTCCGTTCTCAACTTCCGTTGAGAATTTCCGTTGAGATATATTAACTTTCGTTTTTTCAACGAAGTTTCTTTTCTTCAGTTTTAATGAAACATCCGTATCCACTTGTGAATTCTATAAGATTAATGATAATCAAATTAATATTTTGATTATGCTATTGCAAATGATCCGTTTTATAAAACACGTTAGAAAATTGTTTTTAAAAAGTTTTCATTTTTATTTCGAAATTGTCAAGCTTCGAGGGCCATCGATATATAAGGAAAATGAAGATATTGTTTTTTTCCGTGCATGTCGTTTATTCAATTTTTTCATGGCGATCGAATTATTTTTTTTTTTCACATAGAGACATAGAAAATATAGTAAAAAAATCAATGAATCAATAATTTCGCGGTTCAGTTGTGAGAACTGAACTTAGAACGATGTAGATAATCGCGTTATAATCGAAAATTTCATTCGTCGCTGCGAACTTTGTTATCCTTTTAATCGCATTAATGCTGCTTTATTAATCACAAGCTTGATATGGAACTTTTGAAAGCGTTTTATTGGTATATCGTGATGAACTAGATCGATGAAAGTTATTAAATTTGAATAATATATTTTTATAATGGAAATTAGACATCTGACGATCAACCAAAATTTAATATTGTTAAAAATTACTGTTCTCCTTATATATTTTTTTAACATTATTTTGAAAATGGAAAAGGAAGGAAAAATTATATTTATTAGAAATTAATTTCAATGGCACAACAAAGCATAAAAACATTTCGAGTTTATATGATTCATGATATAATTTTACTTTTTCTTTATTAAAGATCAAATAAAATCAATTAAAAATTTAAGTAATAATAATATGATTTGAAGATTTAAAGATCTTAGAATTCAATATTAGATAATGTTGGATAGAATAAAGAATAAAAGCTTGGAGTTTAGAATTCATTAGATTTTGCAAGCACAAACTTCTCAACGATCTTAAGATTTAAATGTGTAATTGTTGGAAGTGAAAGATAAGAAGGAAAAGTTTAAGTTCGAAGACTGAGAATATTCTTGGTTACCGATAGCTTTGCTTTAAAAATTTAAGAAAAAGAAGAGAAAAAAAATATTGTATAAATTCAAATTTAAAATTCATTAAATATTGAAAAACTTTATATTTTTAATGCTTCTGAATTAATAATGTTTCTTGAAAGCTACAATTGTTAAAATCAAAAAAAAAAAGAAAAAATAAATCTTTTAAATCCAAATATAGATCCAAGAATTTTTAAATATTAAAAACTTTATTTCTGAAGCAAAAAAAAAAAAAAAATCTAGAATCCATAATATAAAAGGTTTTTTAAAATTTAAAGTTATATTTGTTAAAAACAAGGAATATAAATATCCTATAAGTTTAAATATAATATAATATTTTTCGAAAGCTCTATATTTGATATTTTTAGAATTTAAAACTATGATCGAAATAAAGAGACGAAAATATTACAAATAATTTAAGAACGAATAATAAAAATACAAAATTTATTATGGTATAGAATTATATATGGAAAAAATAAAATTAGAATTTATATATGATAGAAAATAAAAGAAAAATAATCATGAATGTTATTTAAAATTCAAATATTAAAAAGATTTAGTCTAAAATTTAAATGCAGAATTCAATAATTCGAAAATAATTAATAGAATTGCAAAAATAATATTAATATAGTAAAATCTCGTTTAAAATATTCAAAGTAGAATATCAAGCCATTAAATGAGAATCGAATGCATTAATTTTATAAGATTTACGGGTATCAAATCACGAGACAGTTCATTTGTTATTATTAATTAATTAACACCGAGAGCATGATTTAGCAAAAGTTAAACTCAAAAATATTATTAATCAATTCGTTCGAATTGTCACGTATCGTGATTAAATTATAAATCATTGAAAAAGATTGATTAATAAAAATTTGTTTTGATTAATAAAAATTGTTTCTATATTTTTTATCTGAAATGCTATTAAATCTTTTCATTAATTTTGCTATTCGAATAAAAATTTGTAATAGAATCATTTTTTTGAAAAACCATTAGTATAAATTTAATACTTTTGAATTTTATAGTATTGATGATTATAGTTACCCATAATAGTTAATAATAGGTTTACGTTCAATCATTGTCAATCAATATAGAATATAAAGGATTCAAACAACCACGAAGCTGCAGATAGACGATTTAGTCGGAGAGATGCTTTGACGGGAAATCATGGTATTAACGTCAATCCTAGTCTGCAATGTTCCACATTGTTTGAGATATCAAAGTAGTCGAGTCATGCCTGTTGATTAATCATTTCATTACATCGCAATTTTGTCAAACTCAATTAGTTGCAAAGTTAATAAAAAGACACGCTATTGTATAATCAATCAAAAATACGCATAAAATTTTGATAATATGCAAGAACTGTAATGTAACTATAAAAAGATTTTTCAGAATGTAAATTTCATTGATTTAAGAAAAGAGAAATATTAAATGATGAAATGAAATTCCTCGAATCAAATAACTGAATTATAGTTGTGGTAGATAATATTATAGCCATTGATTAGAATTGTTCGTAAACAACTTGAGAATAGTTAAAGTTGTTCGCTCGAAACTGAACGTAAGAAAATGAAATTCATACACTGGCTACAACTTGGTTATCATTTTAGTAGTAATTCATATTCGAAAATTTAGCACAACTATAACACTCTATTATATAATAGAGAAGATTTCATTAAAAGTTAAATTTTATAATTTGAAAAATACGAAATGTATACGAAAAATGTTAAATTTTAATAATGGTAAATTTTTCCATACTCTAAAAAATTTAAGTAAAATTTCCAACGAATATTTTTCTAAAATTTGATAAGTAATTCTTTTCATAATTTAAAAACTTTTCAATATTAGAACAATTTAAATAATACTTGAACAATTTAACATAACAAAAAACTTTCACGAAAAGAAAGTTACTATGAAAAATTCAATTTATACTATTGAACTCAATCTCATCAAAAAGTTAGAAGAAAAAGCAATAAAGGAAATTTTCAAATCTTTATCATTAGTTTGCATTAAAATTGCATATAAATTATTGCATATAAATTAATTTCTAAAGGATAAAATGAAATTACCTTTGCTAAATTCGTAGATGAAAAGGGTTTTCAAGGATGATGCGCAATGTATGGTTTATTTATCAGGTCCACATGTAATCTGAGTAACGCAATACGTTGTGCAAAGGGTCGTCTGTAGACTCTCGTCGGAAAATTTATCGAGAAACGAGCTTGTTACACAGCAACACGTGCAACGCCTCTGCAAAGCAGCAGAATTGTTGCAACACAATGCAAAACTTGACAATGATTTTGATGATTCATTCATGGCACGAGTCAAAGAGAAGATAGCAGTAAAGATTCTCTTTGAAATAAATTTGCACTTTCAAATTCGTTAACAAATTAATTTAAAAACGAAATTAAAAACAGGCATAGACTGATCATTTTTGACGAATCGTATGACGTCATCAGAGAATAATACAAATTTAGCGGGACACTTAAACTTTATTCAAATTTCATGATGCACATATACTTCTTGTATTATTATTTATATTGAAATATGGGATTTATCTTGATTTTGTTTCATATGTCACTGCACAACTAAATTTTGAAATTATTATTGTAGCGATAAAGTGAATAAAACTGTCATGATTGTAGGAACTTATGATGAGTGAAATATACATAGAAAACGAACGAATATATGAATCGAGAAATATGATAGGTTAAATTTAGTTTAATTTTGTTTGTAATGCGACTAATCAAATTTCGAAATTATTATTATACAAAAGAAATGTAACTGTTCGTGATTATGGGAACGTATGATGAGTGAGATATATATGGAAAACGAACGAATATATGAATCGAGAAATATGATATATAGACTAGATTTAGTTTAATTTTATTTATAATGTGATCAATCAAATTTTGAAATTATTATTATTACAAAAAAAAAAATTATTACAAAAGAAATAAAATTATTCATAATTTTAGGAACGTATGATGAGTGAGATATACATAAAAGAACGAACGAGTACATGAATCGAGAAATATGATAGGCTTAGCTTAATTTTGTTTCATGTATAATCAAATTTTGACCAATCAAATTTCGAAATTATTATTATACAAAAGAAATATAACCGTTCGTGATTATAGGAACGTATGATGAGTGAGATATACATGGAAGAACAAGCGAGTATATGGTTTGAGAAATATGATATATAGACTAGATTTAGTTTAATTTTATTTATAATGTGATCAATCAAATTTTGAAATTATTATTATACAAAAGAAATAAAAGTATTCATAATTTTAGGAACGTATGATGAGTGAGATATACATAAAAGAATGAACAAGTACATGAATCGAGAAATATGATAAGCTTAGCTTAATTTTGTTTCATGTATAATCAAATTTCGACCAATCAAATTTCGAAATTATTATTATACAAAAGAAATGTAACCATTCGTGATTATAGGAACGTATGATGAGTGAGATATACATGGAAGAACAAGCGAGTATATGGATTGAGAAATATGATAGGCTAGATTTAGTTTAATTTTATTTATAATGTGATCAATCAAATTTTGAAATTAATATTATATAAAAGAAATAAAACTATTCACAATTCTAGGAACATATGATGAGTGAGATATATATAAAAGAACGAACGAGTACATGAATCGAGAAATATAATAGGCTTAGC